CCCCAAAACCCCAAAACCCCAGGCAGACTATTCGAGTAAACTGATTGGCATTATCTGAATTAAGTTTGAACATTAATTAAAATAATTTTTAGTTAAAATTTGAATGTTATTAAAATTCTTAGAACAAACATAAGAAGAGCATACGTTTATCATACAGTAGTATCAACAGGCATAGTAATCATAGAAAGAGTAACAAGAATAAAAAGGAGTTCAATATTTGCAAGTGCTTCCTTTGTTGAAAATATTGAGTTGCTTTAACTTTAAGTATCATATGACTACTAGCAGAAGGCTTAGTAAATAAATGAAATATTTTGTTGAATCTAAGATTCAGTTTTTCTGCCCAGATCGTGTATTCTATTACAACTTCAAGCCTGGGTTTATATATCCTGCTAGAAACAATAAGATAATCTAGCTGCCAAATAAAGTGCACTTGTATCTTTGGCATTATTTCCCTGACTATAATCAATGGCTATTCAACTATATCCTAAACAGAGAAATATACTTAGTTATGGATGAACTCAATCACAGGAGAACTACGTTTTGCTTTACGATTTTTAAAAATAAAAAAATAAAGTATCTCAAGCTTATGAATGGTTCTATTATAGGTCTTTATCTTAATGGACTCGCAGCATGCGCCGAACGTATTTGCTTTAAAAACGTTGTTTTTATGTAGATCTGCAAGGAAACAGTCAAAACTGAATGCAAATATCTTACAATGAAATCCTGTTCAAATGTTTAGCATCTAGAGCACACTAAATTTATCAACTGCGAACAGGCGAATTTAGTTAGATGTGAAATAATGAGAGATAATCTCAAAGTATTTGGTGAAAATCTAAAAGTTCTAGCCATTAGAAGGACATTTTCAGTTGATAATATTGTTGCAAAATATTTGGCATTTGACAGTCCCTTTAAAAATTTGAGATCTCTAGATTTAAGTTATAATCAAATTGAATTTTAAGGCCTAGTCAATCTAATTAACAAAGGGTGTGTATTTGCAAATAGCTTAGAGAGGATGACTCTCGAACGAAATCTAATTATTAGTTCATTAATGCAAATTATCTCAAGGCTTCAGCTGCCTAAGATTCAATATATTGACTTAAATTTGAACTAAATTGAATGGGAAGAAGATGAGATTAGAAGTTATCATTACAAAATAGTAAGGAAAATTAGAGAAAAAAAATTGGTTGGGGATAAGGTATAAAAAATTCGATCAGTAGAGATAGCTCTTACTGAAGATTTAACTATCAAAGTAATGAGCGGAGAGGATCTTTATAAAGATTGAATATTTAGTCACATCTTGATTTAATAATTAACCACTTACTAATAATTGACTTAAGTACCAATTAATCTTCATTTTAAATAGATTAAATAATATTATGATAAGATAGAGTAAATCAGTTTCATATAATACTACATTATTAAACCCAGAGGAATTGTTTAAGAAATACAAAGTCAAAGAGTTCCTTGACCCAGGAAAGAATTTATTGAAAATCCCTATGTTTCTACATGCTATATCATCCTATCTACCCATGAGACACTCAATGGTTAAGCATATGCAACTTTCCCGTGACTTGAAATTGAAAATAGACCAGTACAAAGATAAGATATCTCTAAAGAGAGACTTATAAATTAAGACCTAGTACTTCAATCACAGTTTTATCAAATTTATGAAGAAAAAAAACTTTATAATGAATTTTAACAACATTACAGTAGTTATTTACCCGAATACAGATAAAGACTATCTGCTAAAAATAAGTGAGTTTTACACTAAGTTCAAGGATAGTAAAGTTAGATTTTGTCTTGAAATGTTTAGCATTGATGATAACAAAGTTGATCACTTGAGCATATTTGATTACATTAAACCACTGCCTTAAGTTACTTAGGTAAAATGCAAGAACTGTTAACTGATTACTAAAAAGGTTTTCTATATGATATTTTGGAAAGCTAAAATGATCTACATTTAAGACTCGCAGTTTAAATTTTGGACTTGGAAACCTCTTCACGCAGAGTAATTCATCATTAAGAGAACTACTATCTGGGGTAGAGCAAATATAGCGTAAGGCATGCTTGGTAAATGTAGAAGATTCGAAATCGTTGAGTCTTTCACAAATTATCTAGATCTGATATTGAAACCCTTTTCGAACTCAAATTTAAGGGAGTATGTAGTTAAGAGGTCAGAAGTGCATAGACGTGGTATCTTAGATCCACTTTACTCTGTATCCTGGTTTCAAACTCGCCATAGATTCAAGCATTTAACTCTAATTGACATTGAAGGAGTTATTAGTGAAGCTAACTTAATATCATTGGTAGTTTACTTAGACTATTTCCAATCGTTGACACTCATCAAGATTGAGGTAAATCATCACAATTCATTTGACATGAAATTTATTGTTGAGCAAGATGAAGTAATCAAGACAAACATCTTCCAAGACTTTAAGGTACTAGAATTAGATTAAAGAATGAGAAAGTTTGTTAGTAAAGGCAGATTTAAAACTGAAAGAATGCTAAGAAATTTTGACATAAAGTATCTAGCCAAAGAAGAGAGTAGTGAAATAAACTTGCTCAATGGATAGCAAAGTATGGTATCAATGGAGAATAAATAGTATACAATGAATACTATGGACACTGGAAATTTCACTTATTTATGAATTGAAACTCGAATTATACTTTATTACTAAAACGTTATTAATGAACCTATTCATTTTTATTTTTTCGGGGTTTTGGGGTTTTGGGG